ACACACACACACACACACACACACACACACACACACACACACACACACAGACAGACAGACAGTGAGAGAGAGAGAGAGAGAGAGAGAGAGAGGAAGGGGTGAGGAGAGAGATGTAGAGGAGAGAAGACAGATGACAGAGAAGTGATGAAGGAAGAGCGAAGAGAGGAGAGAGGAGAACGCAGAAAGCAGAAAGGAGAGAAGAGCAGAGAAAGGAGAGAGAAGAGCATGCAAGAGAGGCAGAGAGAGATATGATGTTACTATGTGAGGAAAAGTAGCATGAAAAGAGCGAGGGGAAGCGAGAGAAAGATAAGAGAGATGGGGAAGAGAGAGAGAGAGAGAGAGAAAGGGAGAGAGAGAGAGCAAAGACGAGAGAGAAAGAGAGAGAGAGAGAGAGAGAGAGAGAGAGAGAGAAAGAGAGAGAGAGAAGAGAGGAGAGAGATAAATGGTGTTGCTGTGCGAGTGAAAGTGAAATGAAAAAGGAGAGGATGAGAACGAGAGATATGAGAAGAGGGGAAAAGAACAGGAGAGAGGACAGAGGAGACGAGAATGGAAGAGAAGATAGAAGAGGAGTGAGAGAGAAGAAGGAGAGGAGAAGGAGGAGGAGGAGGAGGAAGACATAGGGGAGAAGAGGAAGGAAAAGAGATAGGCAAGAGCGGAGAGAGAGAGAGAGAGAGATATGAGAGAGGTTAGGGGGTAGCGAGGAGAGATGAGACGAGAAAGAGGTAAGAGAAGAGGGGAGTGACGTATCGGAAAGAGAGGAGGGGAAGGGTGTTAATGGGGGTGAGGGAAACTAAATATGTAACTATACCGCGTTCTATAGCGTGGAGACAATGGAAATAACATGGATAGTTCAGTGCGAGCAAGAGTCAACGAAGACGTAGTTTCGAGCGTTCGCGCTTTTTAACACACACCTTAAAATAGTAATAACTCTCAGTTAACCAGCTTACTCGTGGTTATCAAAATTATTCCCAGGATTCGCATGGCGATATTTAGGATAACTGCTGGTCATTCTCATGCAAATGAAGGGTTTCCAGGAGTGATATATGTGTGATGAAAGATGCGCGCATTTCCGAAAATGCGATTTCCGGGTTGCAACAAAATAGACTACTATAGACGCTGCGTACGACACATTGAATAAGGGAGATGGATAACTCCATAGACCTTGTGCTAGCAATTGCATACGTTTACCGAAGCCGAGGCAATTTCCAAACGTGCTTTTATGCGAAGCCCCCGGCTGCGTTTGAAATGCAGATAAAGGAATGATTGAATTCGACAATTTTGCTTGCTTTTCTTTCAAGCAATTATTTGTATCTAGCATGACACGCCGCGCATAAGACATATATGTTAAATGAAACGTGCATAATTAATAGAAAACTACATATGAACCATACATGAAATATATAAACCTGATGAAAATTTACGTAGGACATACTGTGTCGCATATATAAGACCTATTACAAGTGTAATGCCACTGAGATCTGTAAGAAATTAACAACATAAGAGGCATATCCATATGAGAAATGGGAGACCTCAGACACGTTATATATATAAGACACATATGACGTATAACATATATAAGACATAAAGCAGGTGTAACTATGTAAGCAGCTGAGTTCACGTCGACCGTTATATTTTTGACTCTTGGTTAAAATAGTATTTTTTCTCATCCTTGTTTACAATTGACACGTACTACCTATTTGCAGGTCGCTTTACTGATCTCTCCATTCACTGCCTCAATACGTACGCCGCCTTCTAAGCGTTGATGTAGAGTTTCTTTTGTACAGAGAGTGAGTAGTGAGTTCGCTTTTCCAATTTGTACCGGCGTGTGAATATTCACATTTTCTGCTTTTGCTCCGTTGTGAAGTTCGTATAATCTTTCTTCGTTCGATGAAAGCGCGCGAGTCTAATGACGAAATACTTTTCTCTCACATTCACGCACGTTGCCTTCTGAAACCGGAAACGTAAAAGTCAAGCCTGAAATTACGAGCGGGTATTTTCTGCGCCATTGCTCGTTTCTTAATTTATGACGTCACAGCGCGCATAGTCTGTCACCGCACGCGTCATTTTTGCGATATTCTTTCGAGTCGGCGTCTAAGCGGCCCCCAGCAGCATTAGTGTAGCAAAGCGAGCTGTAAAGAGACAAAGACGTCAGATGGAGCGTGCGTGCGTGGCTAATCGCGATTCTTCTTCTAGTATCTGTCGTTAACGGTCGTGTCAAATGAAGGCGAGATAAATCTGCCAGAAATCAGCAGTAATTTGGTGGCGACGCGCAAAGAGACTCATTCGTCTTGAGCTCTGTCACGGAATCACTTACGCGATTTGCATTTCACCCAGATTGCCATTGATATTAAGCTAGGGTTACATCAAGATGCTGGGAGACTATTACTTAAATACATTATTCATGAAGAGAATAGAGATTAATGAAAATGATATGGCGCTGCTTTGTGAAGACGACTCAAGTAGGCCAATAAGTGGTTTCATTAGGGGAGACTCGTGTAACAACGCCTAGATGCAACTAACTATTCTATGAGTTACAATTTACTGCGCGTACGCTACGTAAGGTTTAATACCCTTTACGCGTAATAATTCTATCAATATTCGCGTATTTTTCTGTTGGTAAAACTACAAAGATTTCCTGATGAAAATGTATAAACCGAATACTTCTATATCCTTATTTATATGGTAATTAAACCACAGAGTACATTACGTAGATTCAGCGTGACATTAATCGCACCCAGTTGGTCTGTCTTGTATTTTCGTAACGAGATTTCGTATCCGCGGTCGCAATCGCGAGTTCAATTTATTAAGAATGCTTCATCGACAGAACAACGAACCGCCTGAGTGACAAACCGACTGGCTGTAATACATTCACATGTTTAGCCGTATTACTGCTTACCATACACACAAACGCACACACGAGCGCACACGCACACGCACACGCACACGCACACGCACACGCACACGCACATGCACACGCACGCACGCTACTGCACGGTAGCACACGCACCAGCACCAACTCCACCACACCATAAACCACACACGCACTGCTCATCTCTCTCTCTCTCTCTTCTCCTCTTCTCTCTTCTGTTCTCTCACTCTACACATCTTAACACACAAACACAGCACCTACCAGCACCACACACACACACTTACACAGTCCGCACACACACAACACGACACACACACACACACACCACACGGCACGCACGGCATGCACAGCACGCACAGCACGCACACCCCACATCTCTCTCTCTCTCTCTCATCTCATCTCTCTACGCTACACACACCAGAGTCACGCGCGCGCGCGACGCACGCACGCAGCGCAACAGACACACACATCATGGCACGCCCCGCCACGCAACATCACCCACCCTCGGCTTCTTCCCTCCTCCTGCCCCCCGCACGCGGCGCACCTCGCACTTCACTGCACGCACGCACGCACGCACGCCGCTGCGCCCGTATATACACTACTGCGAATCTCCAACGAGAAAGCCTTACAAGCGAATTGACAACTGAGAGCACCTCGAAAGCACAGACCTCCGCAAGGCAGCTGATCTCTCAATGTGAAATTTTTAACTTATTAATTAATTAATTAAGTGGGGCAAATTCAATTATTATAAATACATATTAATTATTAATTAATTAATTATATAATGTAATTGGACCCCGTTTAGTGCGAGCTGTGCAGGTTGGGGATGCGCACTTGCGCTCTCCTCTCTAGACCTGTGGTTGCGTTTTGTAAGTCTACAGCGCAGCGCACCTAGCGGAAGTGAACTCGAACGAGTGACATGTCACGAACCAAAACCCACAAAGCACAGCAAACAAGACTCAAAACACATCCCGCCGGTGAACAAACATAACCCCGGCCAAGCGCCCTGGCGAAGGTAATAATCATACGCGCGCACATAGAGCGTGTCGGACCCCCCGGGTTGCTATGACGAAGGTTTTACCAAGTAAAAGATGGCTGCCGCGTCGATCTCACGGTCGCTCGGCTACCATTTGCAATAACATCAACACCGTATGTACGAAAATCCTTTGGCCCTCGCCACCGCGATTACATCGCGGCTTAGGAATGGGGAACGCGGCAAAAACAATAGCATATAACGAGGGCGCTGATAGGCAACGAGTCCTTGAGCAAGAGCCTGTGCGCGTGTTTACCAACGTGAAAAACTCTACCTGTACGTACGTGTCTGTTTTTTCAATCTCGGTGTGTTTTTTTGGGACAATGCAAACGCGACAATTATTGGTACTACATGTTCGCAGCGAAAGGAGGGAGGACATGCCTTTATCCCTGTAACGTTTTAAGCAGACGACCGTGCCCTGAGATTAGAGCTGTGAGACGATGAGAAAAATATACTCCTCCTCTGAGACCTTCAAGTACGCCGCGGCGTGTCGAGATCAATTTTTGATGAATCGGACTACGTTGAGACAAACTGAGCTCGTATGGTATGTTTTATTATTTAGCCAGATTAGTAATCCAGTGTGCCTAATGTAATTTCGTTGTATAAGTATAATTTCAAATGAAACAGCTAATGCGAAACAAGCTTGACCAGGCTGCGAGATTAATATCAATACACATTTTCAATTTATTACCGTTAGTACTATTACTATTAGTATTAGGCCTACCATTTCTTGGAGGGCAATGAATGGGTGAATGGAGCTAATCTGAAACAAAATTAATACTTACTTAGTCTTTGCATTGTAGCCAGTAAGTTTTTCATGTTGGGTTAACGCGTTCCCAATCTTGAATATGTATGATCATGCACTCATTAGGGTTAGGCTAGGGGCCTGTGCACAGGCACTTGAAACGTTTCAATAAAATATAATGCTAAATAAATACGAAATCTAATACTAGTACTACAAAATTCTTAATGTTTCTATACTCTCTTGCACCTATTATTGCCGACAGTTTCCTGTAAATTCAGTGTAAATTCCGTTGAAATGCACCTGTCAGCTGTCCCTCACGTTTTTCCTTGGAACAATCTGTGCTCACCCAGTTCTCTGGTGCGGACGGAAAGAGTGAGCAAACGGCAAAGGGTAACTCAAGGCAGCTCAAGTGGGAGGACATGCAGCGGCTTAATGCCTTATTTAAAATTGGTGCCGAGGATGAAGTTGTGGAAAGTACAGTAAAACCTTGTTATACTGCCCCTCGTAATACCGCCAATCTCACTTATCGCCAGGAAAATGCCAGTTTACAGATCATTTGTACGTAATTTAGCCTCGTAATACCGCCCCTCGTTAAGCGCCAACCGCCAGCATTATGGCTATGTACAATTCTATATAAATGCATTGAAAATACACTCGTTATACTACTATCGAGTGTTGGTCGGTATCAGTTGATCAGTTTCTATGGTAACATACACACAGCACATCCATGCGAGTCCTATGTAATAGCAGTAGTATTTAGCTGTATAGTACTAGCGGTAGAGATTTCGCCCCCATCATCACTTAAAATGACTATTGGGAGATTTTTGCTCAGAAAAACTAAATATAGCTGAATATAGTCTCACCTGACAGCGAAAATGTCACTGATTACACCAACATTAAAAATACTAAGATTTTATGGAGTTATAGCATAGAAAATTGGATATGAACACATCGTAACAGCAATCCATTTTATTGTGTCGCGACAATGCCTAATGGCAGAATTGATAAACTTGTATTTGTGTCGGTGATTAATTGAAAACAAATTTGAGAGAGCCATGCTTTGTCTATGGCAGATAAGCGGTGGCGCTGTCGTACCCAAACTTGGAATTTGCACAATCTTGAGATCGCGCAGTGATAGTGCTGCCCAAACTAAACTTCCGGATATTCCCTAGTGCACCGTCCCAACTCAATGATGAGCACGCTGAAAAACAGTCGCTATCAACTACACTTTTAAAATGGCCGATGTGGCATATGGCGAGTATACACGAGGCAAACTAGAAGGAATTCCCTAACTGGCGATTGCGTATCCAAATATCTTAATATACACATTTAATAGAATGTTATTATATTTAACAAAAGACACATGCTAAACACATGTTGAAGAAAACCGATGAAATGAACATTCGGTAGCTAATGAAATGACCAAATCTCGAATGCAAGCCTGCTCACAGCTTGCCAAACTAGGATTTCTATATTGAGCCAATTATGCGTCAACGTATCCAATATATAATTTGTTAACCAATAATCGCCAAATATGCCAAACTACAATCAAGAAATAAGATAGGGAACTCCAGTCAATTGTAATGCAGTATAACATTCGTAGCCTATGATTCCAAAGTTTGTGGCAAACCCTCAGCGCACTGCCCAAACTAGGATTTTGCCAA